TCCCTCCCTCCCTTCCTCCCCGACCCCAAGTCTGAGGGCCTCTGTATTTGTTCCCTATCTGCTTCAGAAGGAAGCTTCTCTGAGGATGGTTGAGCAAAGAACTGATCTCATTAGGAGTCATTTATTACTATAGTTTTTTTTTTAAATTTTGTTTTGTCTTGTTTTGGTTTGGTTTTTAAGATTAGTAGCATTTGGTTAAAAAAAAAAAAAAAAGAAAAAAAAGATTACGGAAGTACCCTTCATGGCCAAGAAGGAAATGACCCATGGAGAGGCATAATGAAATATGGATTTAGTTAGCCAGGCTGATTCAAATTTCTGGAGTCAAAACCTGAGCAATTTAGCTTTTACACATTTAAACACAGTCAAACTCTGGGAAAAAAGGTTTTTTGTTTTTTTGTTTTTTTTTTTTTTTTTGGTGACAATTATCACAACAAAGCTTAAGGCATAATTACATCAAAATTCTCTTGCAAAGTACATCACCTTTTGCAAAGCACATGTGAGCTCTTCCACAAAAATGGGTTCTATCCACTGAGAAACAATGCTCAGGATAAGGGTCTAGGGAGGAATAATTTGTAATAAGTATAATTGCAAACTCTTTGCAAAGTACACTGGGCCTTTTTCATAAGAATATGTTATATTGACTGCAAAACAATGCTCAGGAGTCTAGGGAATTCAGATAAGGGTTGGCTTCACAAAATAGCAAAAAAATCACCAGGCTATCAAACAACATCCACTCCAGCCTTCTGGGTGAACAGGTATGAATAACTTCTTTTGAGGACAAAAGCCAGTTTGCTTAGCAGTTCTGGTTTCTCCACCACTGTCTGTAAGTACATGGGCCTCCTGTCCTTCCACAGGCCTCTAATTCTCTAGATTTGCAAAGTTTCCTTCTGAGATGTTACTGAAAATTTTCTATGCCATTATAGGGAATTCTTCTCCTTTTTCTATGACCATTATATATTGATTTGCGCTTCCCATAACAGAAAAGATCTTGCTTATTCCCTTCATGTATTTACTTTTTATATGTGTCTTTTCCTTTGACTGAATGATTAAATTTCCTTACTGCTCTTCAAGGCTGAGAGTATCTTTTCTATGTGACCCTCTGCTGGTGAGGCTTTTCACTGGGCTTTTTCCTTGACCAACTGAGCTTTCATATTCATCTTCATTTCTGTCTGAGTTTTCTTCAGTATTTCTATCTCATTATCCATTTCTATTTTTATATCCTGAGCTAAGTTGACATATAAAATTAGTCATCATGCTTTCCTTTCTGTGAAACTCAGTTTTTTCCTTTCCTTCTGAGGATAAAATTATGACATCCAATTATTAATCAATTAAGACACATTTTGTGTTCTAAGTAATTTTTTTCAGAATTTTAGTTTTATTATAGTTAACGCTACCTCTATGATTTATTTTTATCTTATTATTACACTCCACCCAAAGTTTTATGCTTGCTTACATAATAGAACATAGCTTGCTTACATAACAGAACATAGCAGAACAAGGAAAATCTTGTTTTAAAACTTTCTTATAAACCCAAAAGTGGTGAAATGTTCCATTAAATATCTAGCTTTAACATAGTGTATTATGGTTAATTCACTGTTATAAGTAAACCATGCTACAAAGAACCAAAATATCAAACACACGTATTAATTTTGTATCTAAAATGTTTTGCTGCTAAATGATTCACTGATAATTATTTTTACAATCATTATTATTATAATTTATTGTTAACTGATATTGCTAAATGGAAATGATAAAAGACATTGAAATTTTAATGAAAGACATATATGAAAGTAAGGGTAAAATAATAAAGTTGAGATTACCTATCTTTTAATTCTTTTTGTTAGGTATATTTTAAAATATAATTGTTAGTTCAACTAATGACTGGTCTTTAGCCTCGCAAGAGGCCATTTAAACATAGAGAGTAACATTAAAAAGAAGCTGTGTGTGCATGTACAAATGTGCTGGTTTGTATTATGTATGTATATATGTATGTATGTATGTATGTATGTATGTATGTATGTGAGTGCATGTGTGTATGTGTGTGCAAAATCAATTACAGAGTAAAGTGGCAGAACTTACCAATAGGGTCATTTTTAGGGTGCATTTTTGAGTGTGATAATGAACAATACCCTAAGGGACTATTGTCAGATAATGTGCTTTCAAAAAAACATTTAGTTGTCTCTTGGATAGTATTTTTTATAAATGAAGACTTTATATTTTAGAAATGGTAAGTCAACTATTCTTTGTTTTCTGCTATGGATATACTTCTTTTAAAAATGCAATTCAGTTAATACACTTTTCCAAATGTTTCAAAGAACTTATGCTAAAATATTCCTTAGGGGCTGTGTTAACTCTATGTTCATAAATATAAACATTTCCATTTTCTGTTTATTCAGAATATTGCTAGAAACTGATTTAAACAATTTATGCAAGGCTTTTGTGGTTATGTGAGTTAATTAATTTAGTTGTTTACTATTTCAAATTCATTGACCCTTCAGTGAGTTAAGTTTTTTTATTAAAAAAAATCCCCAAAACTAGATAGAAACTGCTAGACTAAATAGTAAGAAGTTATTTAGTTAATTTATTCTCTGATATTTATTGAAAGTGGAGCTGGGTAATTCCCAGGTGAAAACTGCTAGCATATCATTTGGGCGTTTCAGCTTTTTTGTCAACACCAATGACATTACAAGCTGTTAAAATCTAATGATGTATACCTGTAAGGCCTTGGGGAACTCATGGCCCCATCCCACTGTGTATGCACTGCTTATTTATCATATTCTCATGGTACTATCCTTTATGTTTTGATACTAAATACCATGAGATTCTTCTGGATGTTGCTTCACTTAATGGTACACATCCCAGAATGCCTGATTTTGTTGTAGTTGTTGCCTTTAAAAAAATTGGTTTTACGTTTTATGGATGTTTAATTAAAATATAATTGTATCTCCTTTCCTTTCATCCCTATCAACTCTCAAGTCCCCTCCATCCAACGTCTTCCATGCCTGCTCACTATCAAATCAATGGCCTCTTTTTCCTTGATTGTTATTGTTATATAACACAGACACATATATGTGTGTGTTATGTAATAATATATATGTATTACATATATGTATGTATATGTGTATATGTACATGTATATATATAACCTGTCCAGGCTATTTCTTTTGTGGATTGTGTATATAACTTCTTATTTTATATCCAATTAGACTACTCATCTTTGGGAGATGATAATTCTCCCTCTCTTAGCAATTATTAGTTCCTGTGGTTCTTTGTCTGGAGTTGGGAGTTTCTTGTGAGATGTTTGCTTTTCCACATTACCATACTTATTGATATTGCCATTGTTCAGAGAGTTCTTGTTAATGGAGACATTTCTATAAAAGACTGTTTTACAGCAGACATCCTGGCATTCTAAATTTTACAATTTTTTTTACCTTAACTTCTTTGATCTTTTTTTTTTTTTTTTAACCAAGACTTGACCTTTATTATTTGAAAAAGCTGCATATTTATTTCACTTTCTGACTGTGCTTGTTCCTTCAACACCTTCACAACAATTTTCTGCTCCTCAATAAGGAAAGCCTGCTTGATCCTGTCACGGACACACTTGGCACACATGGACCTACCGTAGGCCCTGCTGACATGCTTCTTGGTCATAGACAACCTCATAAGGACTTTCGGTCTCACAGCACAAACCCCTCGAAGCCTGCCTGGGCACACACCGCATGCCGATTTAGGTGCTTTCCCAACCTTCTTGGTATAAAGGTAAACAATCCTGTTGCCAGGGGTTTGAGACAGCCTAGTTTTGTTAGAGGCTGTGTTGTAGGAAAGCCTACGACGGTATGTCAAATGCTGGACCATTCTTAGTGCCTCTAAGCACCGTCCCGGAAGAGGAACTTTTTTGATCTTGCCTTAGCCATAAATACCGGAACTGGGAGGCTGATGTTCCCATTGAGACGGGGCTTTCCATGATCCGTAGATTTCTACATGTGTTCAATTGTGGTTTTCTATGATAGTCTCTACTTGTTGCAAAGAGAGGATTCTTTGACTGAAGGCAAGAGCTGTCCTTATTGTGTGACTTGGGGTTTCACTTTGTACAGTAGTCTGATCTTAAACTTCTGCCCTCAAGCCATCCTCCTGCCTGCCCATGTAGTTGGTACTAAAGGAGTGCTGTGGATGATTGATTGATAACTAAAGCTAATTGGCCAGTAGCCAGGCAGGAAGTATAGGCGGGAGTAGAGAGAGGAGAACTGGGGGAACAGGAAGGCAATGAAAAGAGACACCAGCCAGGGAGCAGCATGTAAAGGCAGCAGGTAAAGACACAGAACACGTGGTGACATATAGATTAATAGAAATGGGTTAATTTAAGATTTAAGAACAGTGAGCAAGAAACCTGCCACGGCCATACAGTTTATAAGTAATATAAGTCTCTGTGTGTTTACTTGGTTGGGTCTGAGTGTCTGCAGGACTGGCAGGTGAGAGAGATTTGTCCTGACTGTGGGCCAGGCAGGACAAGAAAAACTCTAGCTACAAAGGAGTGTATAACTCTGCATGTCATTGAATTTATAACTTAAGCATGTCATTATAGCACTTGCATAGCTCTTCCCATTGCCTATGTTAGTACTCTAGAAAACATTCATCTTAATGGAGTACCTGCTGTGATCCATAATCTGTGATTTTTAAAAATAAAATGCGTATTTTAATGAAAAAAATTATACAATATTCTAATCTCATCCCCCTAACTATTCCAAGATCCTCCCTACTTTCCCTGACCCAACCAACTCCATGATTTCTTTCTCTCTCTCTTTAGAAAATGAACACACAAAAACACAAACCAAATAGAAAAAACACTAGAAACACAAATGCACACACACACACACACACACACACACACACACACACACACACACTCATATACACACTTCATAAAAACACAAAATCAAAAAACCTTACAATAAAAGTAAAAGACTAGTAAAATAAAAAATGACCAAAGAAAGCAATATGAGACAAAAATTCTATGAAAATATCACTGAGTTCCTTTTGTGCTGGCCATCAACTACTGGGCACAGGGGATGCCCTTAAGTATGGTTTATACATCAAGTGAGACACCACTGGAGAAATCTAATCTTGCCTTTGCATGTGATTGTCAATTAGAGGGAGCTTCTTGGTTAGGGATGGGAGTTCATACCCACTCTCCCTTTTCAGTGATGGGATTCTGTATTGTGCCCCAGACTCTGTGATTCATAACCTATCAGTCCCGTTGTATCTGGGAAATACCATTTCCTTGGTGTCATCCTTCCTCTGTGACTCTTACAATCTTTCTGCTTGATCTTCCATGTAACTACCTGAGCCTGTAAGTTTTGACCATTGCTTCTCTTCCTGAATTTCACAGTCTTACAAGCATATATGGATTTATTTTAAACTGGTTTGTTGTATTAGTTTTATAAAGGTGTGTTGCTAGAGTTTTCCGCCTTGCCCACAGTCAGGACAAATCTTTGTCACCCGCAGTCCCACAATCCACTTATAAAATAATCACTCAGACTCTTATATCACTTATAAACTATATGGCCGTGGCAGGCTTCTTGCTAACTGTGCTTATAGCTTAAATTAGTCCATTTCCATAAATCTATACCTTGCCACGTGGCTGGTGGCTTACTGGCATCTTCACATGCTGCTGGTCATGGCGGCGGCTGGCAGTCAGTCCTTCTGCCTTCCTGTCCTTTTATTTCTCCTCTCTGTTAGTCCCGCCTATCCTTCCTGCCTAGCCACAGCCGATCAGGTTTTATTTATTGACCATTCAGAACAACTTAACATACAGACCATCCCCCAGCACAGCCAAGTGCAGACCATCTCAGACACCTGCACTCAGGCCCATGGTCCTAATCATCCTCTATGCGGACCTGCTGGGTAACGCCACAAAGAACCCAAGAAGGGCTCCCACAGGACATACAGAACATCCCACAGCAAAGGTGTTTCTTTTTAACTGAATATGAAATTGATTGTCATTGTTGAAAGGTAGTGTTTAAGTGAATCTTGACCCAGAATCAAAATACAAAAATCAGGCCACAGTTGGTGCAAATAAATTCCCAGTAGAGAAGGGAATACGGCATCTCACACTCCATTTGCTCTCACTGGTGATCTAACTTACAGTGCTTACCCAAACTGGCCTTTTTCATTCCTAAATAATTCTTTAAGAAACCCACAAATGGAGTTACAGCATCTTCACAGAAGTCCAGCAGAGCCAGAATGCTGTCTGAAGCAATGTTCTCACCTCGAGTAGAGAGGGTGGGTTTTTTGAAATTAGCAAGGATGGCTTTGATATATTCTCCTGTCTGTCATGAAAGACTCCACTTCATCCGGCTTGTGTTCTTTCTGACTGCCTCTGATTGATTCCATGTAATCCTGATGTGCTCTTTGCCGTTGCCTTTCATGAAGCCAATTTCCTGCAGGTGGTAGTTCATTGCTTTATCATAATACAATGATAGCGTGTGTTATCTTTTTTTTTTCTCTAGTCAAGCTGAGGTATTATCTGCAGAGATAATAAAAATATTTTCCTTTAGATAACATTTCAGATATGTCACCTCATTAAACCTTTCTGAGCTCTCTTGATAGCTTGTAAATGATGCCATGTCCACTTGAAAAATGGGAAAATAGAGACCTTGCAAGTAAAACAGGTTGTCTTTCTATTGCAAGCAATTCTCCAGGATTGAAATGTTATTCTGGAATAGAATTTCAACTTTTTTTTTCTCTTTTCCATTAACCTACGTCTAGACAGATATGTTCAGGAATGTATGCATTGCTCAATAATAGTAGAGCCTAGGTGTATATCAACTTTCCTACTCTTTCCCTAATACAAGAACAGTTCCTAAATTTTACAGCCTTTGTGAAGTATTTCCAAGTAGATCATAACTGCAAGATATATACATTTTCCTGGTAGCTTATGTGAGACTCCTATTGATAAGAATAGAGATAATCAGCCCATACTTGGCACATTCTTTCACACAAATGATCACATCATTCATATTAGCAGCAGATACATAGAAGAATTAACGAGGAGAGTGTAACTGGCATCACCTGTTTGACCCACTGGCATCATAGACATTTTGCAGAGAAACTTTCTAGGTGATATGGTCACTAACTTGAAATTCTGTGTCTTGAAACTTTCAACAACTTGGAAAGCATATCCAACTCTATGGTGGTATTTTATTTGTTCTGAAATGTGATTTTAATTGTATGTTAATAAATAAAGTTGCCTGGGGGTCTGAGCTATTAGAGCCATATAAAGAGCGTGGTGGTGGTGGTGGTGGTGGTGGTGGTGGTGGTGGTGGTGGTGGTGGCACATGCCTTTAATCCCAGCACTTGGTAGACAGAGCTGGGTAGATCTCTGTGTGTTCAAGGATACAGCCAGAATTGGAGACACACGCCTTTAAGAACTGGAGGGCTGTACTTACAGGCAGTGACGAGGCAGTCACATGTTTGTGTTTACAACCAATGAGAAGGCAGAACAGAAAGACTATATAAAGACAAACACACAGGAAGTAGCTCTCTTTTGGAGAGGTAGGACCACCGCAGGAAGAAGGGTAAGGTTTTAGCTCTGAGCTCTGACCTCTTGGCTTTCTCTTTTACATTGGTTATGTGTTTCTTATTTAATAAGACAGTTGGTTACATCTACACAACTCCTTAAGAATACACTAAGCTGCAAACTAACTTTGCTCTGATGCACATCAGCTTCATTCCTCCCATTGTAGCTGTTCTAGAAGCTATGGCAACACTGTTAGAAAAACAAGAATTTGTTCTTTCCACCCAAAACAATCTGTTGGCTCTAATAACTGAAAGAGTAGCATTTAAAGTATTTTATTTACTTGGATGGTTTACCCTAAATTTTTGCAGAAATGGATATTGATACCTAGATCAATACATACTTGGAAACAAAATTTATTTAATTGAGGTGTTATCATAATAACTGACTACTGATCACAGGAACTAAGAACATCCTCTTAGCCTGCATTTCATTAAACAGTGAAGTAGAGAAGTCATGCCTACTTTACACATGTTCATTCCTATATTTGCTTGCTGGAGATAAGGGTCTCAAACTAGTGGGTTCAAGTCTTCTTTTCAGCTTATTCATCAAGTACACTGGGCAGCAGCTGTGCCCCACAGTGGAAATGCAGCCATGTCCCACAGTAGGAGTGCAGTTGTGCCCCATAGTGGGAATTCAGCCATGCCCCATAGTGCCCTGCTCTGCTCCATGCTCATGATCATCAGACTGAGTTGTCTTCTTTCATAAGGAATGAAGTATTTATAAAGAATGCATGTGTTTTGCCTCCATCTCTCCATCCTCGGGGTGGGGGTATGTCAGAAAATAAAACAACACCAGCAATTAAACAAAAGGCCTGAGAGGTTGTCGCAGCCTGAAACAGATGTGCACTATTCTTCAATGAGGACAGTCTGATCAAGGTCATTTAAGAACTACGAAGGAAGGAAACATTAATTTTAGCATGGCAGAGAAAGATTCTGATTTCCCACATTGGGGACAACTTGAAGGAGACAGAATAGAGGTAAGGAGGGTGGCAGAGAGAGCCTTGAAAAGGGCAAATAGAAAATGCATGGCATTTTTACTGTGTATTAATAATAACAAGCATGACCTAGATTCCATGTGGTGTGATTTTATAATAAGATAGAGGCAAAATGCAGAGCTCTACTCAAGGTGCTAAATGGCACATGCTCTTATAAAGTAAAAATTCTGATACATCAAGAGAAAAATTTCTTTGTATAGATACCCATTATTTGCGATTGAACAATTTGTTATTGCCATTTAGAAGAAGTAGCTGATAGCCATTGAAACACTATTCTACTCAGATGAGGATCCTGGGATGACATCAGGGCA